GTAAACATCACTGTGGGCTGTGTACCCCAGAACTAGGGAACATGAGTCTAGATTTGCAGAAAATGCCGCACATGCTGGATAATCGAGTAACAGAAGTATTAATGTATTGATGGATATAGTGAATAAAAAACTCTATCAATGAATATAGCTAATGGTCTCAAAGACTTCAGGATACCAGTGATACAGTTTGGTGTATTTGGAGTTTACTTGGGGTTTTCAAGACAAGGAAAACCCAGCAGAGGTTCCAACCAGTGGCTATGGATCAATGAACAAATACAGGGACAAATGACTGAGGATGTTTAAAGATAATCTTGAACGTCTGAACATGAAAGCTGGGGTTGTTCAGCCTAGGGAAAAGAAACTGTGTGGAGACCTCAGCACCTCCCAGTATCTGAAGGGGGCTACAAGGATGCTGGAGAGGGGCTCTTCATTAGGGACTGTAGCAGGGGGTGATGGATTCAAGTTTAAATAGGGCAAGTTCAGGTTAGATATAAGGAAAAAGTTCTTGACTGTGAGGGTGGTGAGGCACCACAGGTAAAATGCTCCATCCCTGTCAGTGTTCAAGGCCAGCCTGGACAGAGCCTTGGGTGACATGGTCTGGTGTGAGGCGTCCCTGCCCGTGGCAGAGGGTTGGAAATGGATGATCTTAAGTTCCTTTACAACCCAAACCATCCCATGATTCTATGTAATGGCTAGATACTTGCATCACCACCTATGTTTTTCTTAAAGTTAATTTACAGCTTTCCTAATTTCACTCTCCCAGGGCTAAAGTAGTCCCTTTCTTACCATTTTGACACGGTTGGAGCCACTTCAGCAAAACTCAGGAAGATTCATTTCGCTTTAATTACAGTGAGAGCTGGGGACGGAAGGGAGCAAGAAACCCAAAAGTCATAAACTAGTTAGGGAAGAGAGGGAGGAAAATGTTCACAAACTGCTGACAAGATTAATATGCAGTTGATGGGAAGCGCTTTCACACCAGGGTGCCAACAAATAAACACAATTCAAAAATACCATCCCTGCTGCAGTGGATAAGGGTGGATTCCCAGCAACAGAGAGGGAGGGAGGAAGGGACAGGGAGACATTTAGAGAGGGCAGGAGACCCGTTTGCTCTGTGAAGCTTCGTGCCCAGAATTCCTCTGGTGGAATCTGATAGCGGGGGGCTTGCTGGGCCAGAGGGTTACTGCTTTCCACATTAAAACACAACAGGGAGAGGAGGGGAGGCTGAGGACTGTGTGTGAAAACCTGAAGATCAAGCCTGGGCACAGCTGCTGCGGAGCTGGGAGCTTCACCCTCTGCAAGTGCTGAGCTAACTTCCCAACGCTGCAGGGTTGGCAGGAGCCAGGGAGGAACAACAGGGTGGATGTGTCCTCTCCCTGCAAAGCACACAGGGGGAGGTTGAACCTGGTTTAAACAATGGGGAAAAATGCTAATGCATGTTACCTTAAATAAAGAAACAAACTTGGGGGTGGGTGAGTTGGGGGGGCAGGCGCTGAACAGTGTGCTGCCAGATGAACGGTTTACAGTTAGTTTACAACACACACACCCCCAGATGGAGAACCTGATCAGTTTTCCCTTTCCTTTCACCTTTTCTGCCTTTGTTCTCGGCTTCCCCTGTCTCTACATAGCGCTCTTGTCTCCCTTCCACACTGCCATATTCCAGTACTGAGGGAAATGCTGCCATTCCACCGTCAGTCACCCGGTTCAAATACAATTTAGATAGTATTTCAGCTAAGCTGGGATGTAATTGCCAGGCCTGGCGTTTGAACAGCACTGGATTATGTGTCTATATATATCATCAGAGGAGGTTTAATGAAATTGTTCACTAATGAAATCTTAGCTTTAAGACTTCACATCCCTTCAGGGAAATGTGATGTTAAGAGCCCTCTGCCTCTGTTGTGACTGAGAATTGTTACTGTGACTGCACTGTAAACAAAATGATAAAAAGCCATTGCTGAAGCCAATGGGAATGCCACCAGTTACTTCAAAAAGGAGGTTTTAATCCCTGTACTCATCTTCTTATGTTTGAAAGCAGAAACTTAGTTGTGTCTGTCAGCTCTTCACTCTTGCGGTCCTACAACCTCTGTCCTGTGCTGGTTATTTCCCCCTAGCTGTGCCAGCCCTGGTGTTCCCTGTTCCAAATCTACTTCCCACCCTCTTCCAGCCTTCAGCCATTCAGTGTCTAGCGCAGGATTTGCACGCAGCAAATTATACAACAGTGTTAAGATGCACAAAATTGGGGACTATGAAGGACAACAATGGCCCTTGCCTGTTTGAGTGTTTAAATCTAGATTTCCAAGGGAAAAAGCACTGGAATATCTCCATTAAGCTGCAGTTCACCTGCACCTCTGAGCCAGTGCTGGATCAGGAGGGACAGTTCTACTTCTTGGACTGATCCGACTGGTCTTGTAACCTTTTGGTTCCCACAGGAGCGTGACAGCTCTGCCTGTGTAACAGCTCGTGCCTTACTGCTGACCTCCAGGGCCAAGGGCATTGTGCTGATCCGTGGATGGCAGTAATAGTTGTGTTGACAGATGCATTTCACCAGCTGTACAACCACTTGCTTGGTGGGACTTGAAGGTAACCCTTCCTGTGCCACCTGACACTGGTGGCTCAGATATAATTTGCACGAGATGGATCATCGACAGCCCCTTTGCCCTCCACCAAGTATAAATCTCTCCAAAATAAATTGCCTCATCGTTTCAAGGAAGAAATATTCAAGTTCTAAATACCAGGCTCTCCCTATGCCCTCTCCTTCCCCTCAGCATAGTCTGTCCAGCTTTATGCCTCTTACCTCTTTCCCTCTGTTTCCTTCCTCTCAGATCCCTGCTCGATAGTTAAAACGTTCATTTACACCATGTAATCTTTCTCTGGTTCTGCACCCTGTCACTAAGACCAAGTCCTCTCCTGATGACAAGACTGGTTCAACTACTGCCCAGAGGATCTTGGCTGATTGTTGTTGATGAACCGCCTCCTTGCTCCTTTTCCTGTTTTTCCAGTTTCTTTCCCTGCTTTTTTTCACCTGTCCACCTCTTTTTCCCTCACCCTGTGGTGCCCAGTCCTTGTGCTGAATGACTTCACTGGTTGCATCAGTGATGTTTTGAGCTGACTGCAGATTTGTGTTTGCTTTCATCCTCTTCAGGGCTGGCCCAATGCCCTTACTCACCCACTCAGCTGCTCTTACAGCACATTTTCTGTGAAGCATTGCCTTCTTATATTTCTCTCTCCAAGTTTCTTTCTATTTATTTATATTTCTTCTTTACTTGTCTCTTAGCCCTTTTAGGATCTTGATGGGGTCTCCTTCCCTAATAGCTTCTCTAGCGTCTGTGTTCACACCTACTCTGCCTCATTTGCCTTTGACATGTTTTTTCATTGCCCCAGATAAGTGTCTCTCCAAGCTTGTTCTCTGAGCCTCCCTTAGGACTTGTGTAGATGGCCAGGGATGAAAAGCTCTTTACAGCTCTTCCTCTTGTGGAACAGTGGCTGTTGTACCTGCAGTGACTTGGGAACTAGCTGAGAACCATCAGAAGCACTGCTGCATGCTGCATTGAGGCCACAGGTCAGGCCCAGCTTCCTCATCCCTTGGCTTCTAGGAAAACTCCTGAGACTGCATGACAACTACAGTTGAGCCCAGACCCACTCACCCCACATCCAGCTGATTTGTGTAAGTGAACAGTAAGATGACAGAGCCCCCCAAAAGGGCTTCAAGCTTTGGGTCTACAAGTCTAACAGTCCCAAATTGCAATCCTGTAGGTTTACCATCTAAATAGACTGTAACTCTGCATCTGGAAAACACCAGCCTTGTGCCTTCTGGCGTCTCTCACCCCTAGACCCTTTTCCTTTCCCCTCCCTTTGCTGTATTTTAAAGATTGAATATTCTGATGGAATTGAAAGCTCCTCCTTGGATAATAAAAGTGCTGTTGGAATCCACTCTGGTGTGGCAAGATATAAAAAGGTGAAAAAAATACACAACTGAGGAAAGAGAAAGAAAGGTAAAATGCATAGGGTTTTGTATTTTAAGAACTGTAGCAATGCATATTGAATCAGGCAGGTCAAAACGCTCTTTGTTTTTTTATTGGTTTGTTTGTGTTTTGTTTTGTTTTTTTTTTTACTTCTTCTTTTACCATTTTGATCCCCTTTTAGATACACATATTCATTCTTACTTTTTCCTGAACCCTTTTTTCCTTATACTTAATTTTCCACTGACTTTACGGAACTACTTTGACTGCTCAGGAGTTTTTATGGAGTGAACTGGTACATCTTTGCCCAGATCCTAACAAATACATATTGGCCATGTGCCTAAAATCACCAGCGCAGCCTCCATCAGCACTCACCACTCTTCCTGTCCTAATTATAAGTAGAATCCACAACTTCATTTTTCACTGAGACTGCAACATTGCTTAACACCCATTTTGATAGAGGGTTTGTGAGGGTCTCAAACTACCAGAATGATATGGATCAATACAGACACCCTCCCCTTGCCCCTCAACTTTATTAAATTAAGGAAAGTCAATCTATCTCCAAAGCTTCTCTCTAGCTTTACTGGTGCATATAACCTCTCCCTGCTCTGGATTTAAAGAAATAGTGCACATCCCTCTATTTTTCTTTCTTAGACACAGTCAGTTCAAAAAGTTAAAAAGAGTCAAAAAGAGATGAGAAATTTTGAAAGGCTTGTAATGGTATCTGTTTCACATACATAGAATACACTTTCTTTTAGTTGACAGCAGTGAAGAGGTAAGTTCCTTCTGAATCTAAATATGATGTTCCAACATAATTTTGCTAATAACCCTTATATTTGGTCATCCTTTGTTATCATGACTGCAGTAAATGGGTAATAGAAAATGTTTAATCCTCTTCCCTTGCAATGAGGAAATGCCAGATTTGGTTCTATTTTCTAAATGAATGCATCACAAAGAGTATTATTTAAGAAAAAAAAAAAAGAAAAAGATTTCCAAATAGGTTGGTTTTGCATTTAATTCTTAACGGCTGAACATTCACTTTAGTTTCACCAGACAGCAGGAAGTCTGCAGCCTGGCCTGAGTCCTGGCCAGGCTTCCCATGGTCAGAAGCCTCCCTCTATCGACCAACAGTTTCACTGTTCAAGGGGGAGAAGCTTTGGTTAGAAGCGAGAACAGGAGCTGATCTACCGGGTATCAGGGACCTCTTACAAAAGGGCTTTTGTATCAAAATCAAACAATGTAATAAATGTGTCTGCATAGATTTCAGTGGTTTCTACATTGACTTCTTTTTGTTAATTAAAGGCACACATAATGCTGTTGAAGGAGTTAGTCCAGCAGGGCTAGGAAATGAAATTCTGTTTGTTTATAAGAATAAACTATCTTCCTGCCACTGTATCTCTGTTCCTAACCATAGTGGGAAAAGTGCATTACTGTGGCTGCATGTTTCTTACCTGAAGGGCCTTCAAACGAGACCTGTGGAGAACTGAATCAGTGTGCTGTTAGCATTCAGGATTGACTGCACAGTCTTGGATGTACAAACATGCTTGTCGTTTAAAGTCACTCAGAAGAAGGAGGAGAAATTTGCTGACCCGTGTTCAAGTGGCTGTGTTTATGTGATTACAAACAGTGTAGGTGAGGCCCTCAGTGATATGGTTTAGTGGTGCTCTTAGAAGTCCTGGGGTAATGCTTGGTCTTTTTCTCAACTAGATCTTTTCCCACCTAGTTGATTCTGTGATTCTATGATTCTGTGACCTGTTATTTGGTAGTTATTTGGGAGAAGAACTCAGAATATAGTGATATGTATGGCTATTTGCCATTTTGATGGCTCCAAGAATAAAAGGAAGAAAAATCAATTAAATTCAGTAAATATATGCTCTCTATTTTTTAGCTTTTCTTTCAAACATGGGGAAATGATAAATTTGCAGGATATGCTTATTTACAAACCCCAATGGACTAGGCAACAGATACACAAATTTGGGCGAGCAACTAAGCAGGGACCTTTCTCAAATGTGCATTGACATGAGTCATTGTGATGATGGAGCAGATCCTCACACAGCGTAAATCAACATGGTGTGATTAGCTTCAGTGGAGCGGTGAAGAAGTACAACTGGATACCTAACTTGCCTGCAAGAAGCCCTCAGAGTTCTGGGCTTTGTCATGTGTACTGACATGCTGATTTATTGTTAAAACTTAGGGGTGCACAGGAGAACTGGATGAGGTACGCTGCCTTGCTGTTTTGAGGTGCTTAGGAAGGCTGCAATGTGCACCCAGAGACTTATTTGAACAGCACTGCTCACAAGTGCAAGTGGGGAACATGAAAAGCTAGAGAGTGATCAAGCTGAAGGAAAGAGGCGAGTTTGAATGTATTCCTACACTCACAAGGCTACAGCTGTGGGAGTCATTCAAAAAGCACACTTTTTTGGGTAATTTATTTTTGAAACTCTGCAAAATTTGTCAAATCGTTTATTTGATGAGCATTATTTGACCAGCTGTACAGGGAGCCACACTGGAGTGCTGTAATGAGTGCTTTGGAATGCGACCAGAGTTAATGTGCCTCTGATAGTTGGATAATTCTTTCACCCTGCTCATTTCTGTGGTTTGCCTATAACTGTGGCCCCGCTTGATTGCTGTTATGATGTGAGCTTTGAATTCTCTCTCTCCTTTGGCCTTCTCCTTTTGGCAGTTCCCACAGAGCTGAGCCCTGATTAGAACCACAGCAGGTCATTCGATCTTCAGATGGCTATAAAAGGTCTGTGCGAGTGACCATCTCCCTTCTGTCCCAAATGGATGATCACGCGTAGCGTACGCTGCCACACTCCTGGCATGACTTCAGCGAAACTGGCAAGTTTTCCTTCCAGAGCTAAAGCATAACACAAGGTAGAAGGAGCAATTCCATTAAATGCCCCTTTAAACTGTCAAATTTAGCAGGAACTTTAAAACAGAGCAGACTTTAAAGTGATGAGGGAGAAGTACCGTTCCCCTGCTTGAAATCACAGCTGGGTTTGTTACCAGCAGGTGTGATATGAAGTCAGCATTTTCCTTGATGACTTTTTCCTTTGCCATTGTTGCAATCTGGCACTGCAGATCAGAGTCTCATTCCAGGTTTTTAAAGGGAACTGTTACTTTCCTGAAGGATTTTACTCCTTGTCTCCTTCTAAATGGATTTTATTATTTTGTAATTTCTCAAAAATAGGTGCATTTGATAAAATCCAGATATTTGGAACCAAGATGGAAAGTTCAGATAACAGGTTTTTACTGCAGAAAAAACAGACGTTTAAGTACTCATGCTATTAAAAAGTCTGCAGTCATGTGCTACTCTTTCTTTCATGGGGTTCTTCAGAATACTGATGCCCTGTTTTCAGGCACTTGCTCTGTTCAGGTGCTGGTGGCATTTCCATGTGAAACAGAGCCATATGAGCTATGCCAGGTTAGCTTCCCAGCTTGGTGGGAAGCTTTGTACCTTGCTTTGTTCAAAAGACATAGGCTCTGGAACACAGGTTGTCAAGTGCTGGACACAATTGTTTCTTCAGCAATCTCAGCCTCTTACACAGTTCATGAAAGACAATGTTTCAAGAATTCATAGGATCACAGAATCGTGGAATGGTTTGGGTTCTAAAGGACTTTAAAACTCATTCAGTTCCAAACCCCCGCCATGGGCAGGGGTTCCTTCCATCAGAGTAGGCTGCTCCAAGCCCTGTCCAGCCTGGCTTCGAACACTGTCAGGGATGGAGCAACCACATCTTCTCTTGGCACCCCGTTCCAGCGCCTCAGCACCCTCACAGGGAAGAACTTCTGCCCAAAAGCTCACCTAAATCTCCCCTCTGTCAGGTTAAAGCCATTACCCCTTATCCTGTCACTACAGGCACTTGTCAAAAGCCCCTCTCCAGATTTCTTACACTCTGATGAGACATAGAGGCAGAGAGTGAATTTTTCTGCTGCTTGCACAGCTGCTGTCTTCATACACTGATGCTATCAAGGGCTGAAATTCGTAATGCAGAAAATCTTCATGTAATTAAATGTCTCCTTTTTTGCTAAGTGCAAGTATCATCTGGGGATGTCTGGCGCAGGAACAGTTCTATTTATTGCTCCATTATTTGTATTCATTACTTTAATAGCATTCAAATGGTGGTTTTCAAGCCAGAAGCCTGAAGTTTCATTCCTAGCTCTAAGATCAGCTCATTGAGACTACTTTGTACTCAGTCAGTTTCTGGTTAAGTGTCCCAATAGGAAAGAAATGTTACTTTGCTGTTCTGTCATGCTGTCCTTTAAGATACCTCAATACACTCTACATTAGCTCTCATAGTTCTGATCTCTAGTTGGAAAACATTAAAAGCAAATGGCTTATGTGTTTGATGTAGCCCACTTTAGGTTCCCTCACAAAGTTGGGGTTTCTTTAATACTTTTTAAAAAGACAATTCTTTAATAATACTTTTTAAAAAAGACAATTCTTTAATAATATAATAAAATTTAAAAAAAATACAGGTTAGATATAAGGAAGAAGTTCTTTACTGTGAGGGTGGTGAGGTGCTGGCACAGGTTGCCCAAAGAAGTGTTCAAGGCCAGGTTGGACAGAGCCATGGGTGCCATGGTCTAGTGTGAGGCATCCCTGCCCATGGCAGGGGATTGGAACTGGATGATCTTAAGGTCCATTTCCAGCCCAAACCATTCAATGATTCTATGATTCTACATGGAATGGAATCAAATACTACAATGTACATCTTCTTGGAAGCGTAATTTTCAGTTTGGTTGGTTTGATTGATCAGCTGATATGAGCATTCTTCCAACCAAAATTTTTCCACTTTGAAAAAAAATCACAGTAGAATTTGTTGGGAAGAATGATCAGCTAAGGAAATGTGATTCACAAGGTGCTACATATTGAAGCAATTCAACATTGATATAAACTCTGACTGCTCAGTTAATTTTATATGCAGATAGTTACCGTTATCATTAACTTTAACACTCCAGTATGTCAGGATTGCTTATAAATATCAATTCTTCTTCTTGCTATTGAATTAATTAGATTTTTTCAGATATATTTCATTTTTGTGTTAAAGCACCATACCTCAGCTCAATGCAAACATTTGTACAGAAATGAAAAGCTAACTACTGGAATGCCCACACAAACACAAACCCAAATCTCTCTTTTATTAGTGTTCAATCACATTTACATTATACGAAGCATATCACAGACTTCTGGCAGGTGTCAGGGAACAAAAAGGCACATACTGCCAGGTGAGCAGAGGGCAAAGAAAGACATCTGTGTTGCAAAGCCAAAGGCCAACCACAGAAATATCTTGGCAATAGCCTTCACCTGAGGGGATCAGATGTCTCTCCTGGAATGCAAGTCCAGCAGTACAGCAAGTACAGGGTTTCATGTGATGAAGTACACCCAAATGTCTGCTGAGATGGCCAAAGATACTGCTTTACCCTGGCATTTCTGCCTTGGTCCTTTTCTGGAGACACCAGCTTTTTTAGCAGAAGTGCAAAGATAGGAAGCACCTCTATGCTCAGATGCTGCAGTTCACAGGCTGGAGTTTCAGGTTGGTCCAAAAGCTTCAAAGCCAGCTCGTGGTGGGTAGTAGTAACAGACATAATGTCTGATCTTCCACTTCAGACAAATTCAGCAGAGTTCCTATCAGTAAGAACTGTAATTGGACTCTGTCTGGCACACCAGAGTTATCTACCTTGCATGATATTCTGAGAGATCCTAATATTTCAACATTCACTTTTTTCCCCAAATCAAACCACAAAGATATAACCACCAGAAATATCAAATATTTATTTATTCATTATATATATTGACAAAGCCAAAACCTTATTGCATACCCTCAAATTGATGAGGTTGGTTTGCAGAACTGATGTGGTTCATTCTGTGAAAAACCAACCCATGTTATGCTGAATTCTCCCCTCTAAAGCACATGTCTGGGCTGATGCTCCTCTCTTACAGCTCTGGATGCACAGAGCTGGATTTGCATGTGTTAGCCTGAGCCCAAGGTCAGTTTTGGGTTGGAAGAGAAATGTGGTGACACGAAGAAGAAGGTGACTCGCAGGGAACTTGATTAACAGAACAGGCACTTGTGAATTGAAAGAAGCAATGGTCTGATAAGGAAATGAAATCCAAAGATTTACCAGTCTGAGGTGACAAAAGTTATAGATGACAAAGCCTAAAGGAACAGTCATTCTTGCATCGCCATTTGGTAAAGCAGCAGCTCCCAAATATCTCCCATTGCTTGTCCAGGGATGGGCAAAATAATGGGACCAGCACTATGGATTTTGTTCAAAATATATCACTATCATCATTGTACTTACTACCTCAGAAGCCTCTGTGATGGGAGAGGATCTCTGTATGCTGTCACACAGAGAACACAAAATAGTCCCTTTCCAGATAAAATCATGAAGGAGACAAGAGGCTAAAGGGAAGAGAAGGGTCTTACCTGGTGCAAAGACTTGTTACCTGGAAGTTGTATGTGCTTAGGCTTCTGTCTTTGTCCTTATACCCTACTATGAAATAACATTCTGGATGAAATGTCAAATATATAAACTTTCCTATATATGCTCTAGTTATATTAAGTTTGATCATCAATCAGTCACATGATCTGATCCCTGATGATGAGATATTTCAGGAGTGGATTTCCTGAGGTGCATTCTTGTTAGCATCAGCATTACCACTTACTGCTTATGCAGCAACTTGCACCCTGCTCAGATAGGACTGCAATTACCCCCAAAAATGTAAATTAAGGTATCTTCTCTTGCACAGAAGGAATGAGAATCCAAGGAGGCATGCCATAGTCAGTACCAGAGACGGCTCAGAGAATGCATGGGTGGAAGAAGTGATCCAGAACAGTGGGG